AGTGCTGCAGGGTGGGGTGCTGCAGGGGGTGTCCCCTGTGCCCCGCAGGCCCCTGGTGGCTGCACGGCAGCGGTGGCACAGGGCAGGGGTGATGGGTGCTCATTGCCCGCAGGAGTCGGCCGGGAGCCACACGTGTGACCACGCCATGTCGCTGCAGCTCTACCAGGATGAGATGAGGCGGCGCAAGCAACTCAGAGGCGCCTCACAGACCGACCTGGTAATGCCCTGGAGGGTGGGAGCAGGGGCACGGGTTGCCCCCCAGTCTGGCACGCCCCCACGGGCATGGTCTGAGTCTCCCGGGGTCAGGCCAGCAGGGGCGTGGATAGAGGGGCATGGATTCAGTGCTGCCTGCCTGGGACTCGGCCCCTCAGGTTTGGCCATGGGGCAATGCCCCTGTGCCCAGAGGGTGTTCGGAGCGTGGCACACACGTGTGCAGCCAGCTTGTGCGTCACACCTGTCCACGCTTCCGTCCTGCAGGTGCGGGCGGAGGAGGCCTGTCTGGGCAAGGCCGGCAAGGAACAGTACAGCCGGGGTGAGTGGGGGCCCCGGGCAGTGGAGGGCAGCAGCTCGGGGTCATGCGTGCCCGCTGACATGCGTGCACCCACACACGTGCGTTCACATACACATGCATGCTTGTACACACATGCGTTCTTGCACACGTGTACATGTACCTGGGCACAAATATATGCGCGTACATCTGCCTCCTGCACACACACATACATGGACACACGTACGCTTATGCCCACACATGCACCCTCATGCGTGCACACACACACAGACTTACGCACAGAGGCACCAACACATTTGTTGCGGGGGAGGCTGCTGACACAGCGATTTGCAAGGCCCAGCCCCTGGTGCAATGGGTCTAGGCCCCAGGGGAGGACGGAGCTGCAAGCACGTCCCAGCATTGCCCTGACATCCCGGTGCCCTGCAGAGCTGCGCATGATCCCCTACATGATCACCATCGGCGACGCCATCCACAACTTTGCGGACGGGCTGGCCGTGGGCGCCGCCTTCTCTACCTCCTGGAAGACCGGGCTGGCCACCTCGCTGGCTGTGGTGTGCCATGAGCTGCCCCACGAGCTGGGTAAGGGGCCAGGGAGAAACCCTGGGGCCTGGTGGGGACAGAGACCCAGAGACCCCAGCCTCAGTCAAGGGCTTCATCCATCCCTATGGGACCCAGCCCAGGAGCCCACCCGGGGACGCCACCCAGCTCCAGGGAAACCAGCCCAGGGAGCCCACCCGGGGACGCCATCCAGCCCCATGGGACCCAGCCCAGGAGCCCACCCAGGGATGCCACCCAGCTCCAGGGGAACCAGCCCAGGAGCCCACCCACGCACACCACCCAGCCCCATGGGACCCAGCTCAGGGAGCCCACCCAGGGACGCCGCCCAGCCCCACGGGACCCAGCCCAGGAGCCCACCTGGGCATGCTGCCAAGTCCCGTGGCAGCCATCTGAGAGACCCCAACCCTGGGACCCTGCCCAGCCCCGTGCCGCACGGCCAGGCCCTGACCCTAACCCTGTTCCTGTCCCCGCCCGTGCAGGGGACTTTGCGGCACTGCTGCACGCGGGGCTGAGCGTGAAGCGGGCCCTGCTGCTGAACTTCTGCAGCGCCCTCACTGCCTTCCTGGGCCTCTACATCGCACTCTCAGTCACAGCCAGCGCCGAGTTCGAGGCCTGGATCTTCACTGTGGCCACTGGGCTCTTCCTCTACGTGGCCCTGTGTGACATGGTGAGCAGCGGCCCGGCTCCCAGGGCTCAGTGGGGAGGGACAGAGCCTCAGTCCTGGGGTGCTGCTTAGAGCCGAGAGCCCAGGACAGGGGGCTATGGGTCGGAAGAGGCACTGGCAGGGCTTGGGGGGGCAAGGGGACGTGGGTTGGAAGTGAGGGGCACCGGCAGGGCTGGGGGGCAGGGGGAGCGAGAGGCAGCTCTCACGCCTCTCTACCCCTTCGCAGCTGCCGGCCATGATGAACGTGCAGGACGAGCGGCCCTGGCTGCTGTTCGTGCTGCACAACGTGGGGCTCGTGGGCGGCTGGGCTGTGCTGCTGCTGCTCTCGCTCTACGAGGAAAACATCACGCTCTGAGCCCCCGCGGGGGCAGCAGGGGGCGGCACGGCCACGTGGCGGGCACGGGCAAGCTGGGAGCCGTCGCAGGACCCCGGGGACAACACGCACATGCGTGTGCATGCACGCACATGTGCACGGAGCATATGGGACCTGCTGTATTTATTTAATTTATTCCACTGGAAGTGGCGGCACCGCCCCGACACCTCTCTCCCGCCCAGCCCCTGCGGGCATCATCCTGCCCGGCTCGCGGCACAGGGACAGGGACAGGGACAGGGACGGGCGGGGG